CAAAAAGTACTATCTAAAGAGGAGGATGGGTAAATATAGCACATGGGAGCGTGCCTAGAGTATAACAGGCAATTCCTCTCTGGATCACAACACTGTGGCGCTGCAACAGGAAACAAGTTACTCTGGGAGCCCTGGTTTACCTTAAAGAGCTAACTAGAAACACTAAACCAACACATTAAAAACGGGAAGATATCGTCACTTTTTCGTTCGTTTCCAATGAATAAGTTTAAGTGATGAATTGGTTATTTCAGTTATGACTTGATTTGTTATACTTGAGGGGAAGCCGTTGTCAACAGGATGGAAATAAACTGGCGAGGCAGATGGAACACTTTAATGGTAGATCGCTTGCATACACGTACATCAGACTCGCCAAGTTGATCACTGGGAACCCCTGGGTGAGGGAATCGGAAAATGAGAGGTGAAAAAGGGATGGATGAGAGCGGGTGGGGGAAAAGCTTTGTCATTGGGCACGCGGAAGACAGTGGAGTGAAGTGTACAGCCGGAGGGAAGGGGATAGAAGACTAGGAAGCAGAACAAAATGGGAAGAGTGAAGAGAATAGGATAGAGGGCAAAGCAGGGGCAAGAAAGAGAGGAGGAGGAGAGGGGAGAAAACAGATAATACATAGGAAACAACATTTATAACCAACACACAACAATTAAAGCCTCCTCCGAAAATTATAATTATAAGTAAAATAATAATAATAATAATATAATAATCTGCCAGGGAAGTTTCACAAAACGTCTTCGCCTATTGTTTACAAACATATCACAAACATTTTATATTGTGTAACTACCAAAACAAGCTAAATTAATACAATGGAAGGATAGGGGATCACGTCCTAGGGGAAGTATTTGGGGGGTTGGTCATGCCCTAGGGAAGTCACGTCCTAGAAGGATTAAAGGGAAACTCCCATCCTATGAGGGAGGGAAAAGAAGGATGACCGCCCCTAAGGGAAGCAGAGAGAAAGGGGTCATGCCTTGGAGAGGAGTGTCACGGCCTCGGAGAGGCTTGACCTCAAGAAAGGTCATGTCGTAGCAGTTACACACACACACACGGGAAACGCACACCAATGAACACCGAAAAGGTCATTATTATCATACACAGAACTAATAATAATATCAACATGCCTACACCGAGTGAATCAACTACTGTGAGGGTCCAGTCCAGTCTGGTGAGAGCACACACAGGTTAGCACACCAGCGCTGAGTACAAGGAACAGAAGTTGTCTACATGGATCTCTCTCTCTGTCATTCACACACACACACACACACACACACACACACACACACACACACACACACACACACACACACACACACACACACACACACACTCTCATGTGTCCAACACACCACAGATACAAAACAAATCTGCTGGACACTTTTATGAACACAGAAATGCAGTTTAAAAGACCTTGAAATGAACTTCCCAGGTTTCGTTTCTTCGGTGTTTTATGTTTTGTTTTTATTGGCGTTTATGGTACGTTTTGAACACTGTACACTCTCAAAGTCTTCATTATCCGGACACTACAACAAGCCTGCGGAATATATCCGAATTTCATCCACCGGACATCCAGGATGAGAGATCTGCTCGCTTTTAAGCGTAAGCGGACCTTTGGACGTTTGTACGTCCAGAAACCGGATCTTAAACAGAAATTGCACATTTTCGCTATCGACTTTCAGGATGCCAGTCATTACCTCAGATGGTGGGACCTGTCAAAGTTCAAATCGCCCAGATCTGGATGATGAGACTTGCCGACCAGATATTTGACCATGGGATTATTAATACGTCTATTACGAAGGATCAGTTTCCCTTGATGGAACACGAGGAAGTGCACATATTTGCTTAGTAAGCTGTGTAAGTTAAGGTCTCTATAACAAGACCTGCACAAGTCTCGACACTAATACGCACCTGTCCGTGTGTTTTGGTTCTCTGGACCAACCGGGACATTAGAGAGACAGGATTTAGTGCATTGTGTGTTTACCACGGGGTTGTAAAATGATTCTTCAACTAAAAGTTTGTTACAACAGTCTTCGCCGTCGCCACCACCACCACCACTTGTCCCCACCACTATCACCACCACCATCACCACCACCTGCCACAGCAACCACGATCGGTCACACTCGACCTAACCCTCTTCCCCACCGGGAGGAAAGGAGGAACATGATGTGGCGGAAGGCGATGACCGAGCCAATCATGACGACGACGACGATGACGACGACGACTTAGCTACGCTGTGATGACTACCCGGGGCCTCAACCATCAGGGGCTGGTGGTCGTGCTTAGTGGAGCCGTCATAGAGTCGTCGGATTCGAGGTAGGACACGTAGGAGTCGCTGTGGACAGAGTCGTCGAAGGGACCCGTGTCGTACTTGGAGTCGGCATGCGGATGCTGCGGCTGGTGCTGTTGTGGCTGTTGCTGCTGCGGCTGCGGAAGCATCTGCGACTGCGGTCCGAGGAGCTCTGCTGCTGCACACATTTCCGCCCCGTAGCCATGCATCTGACGGAGGAAGACAGGGTTAAGAGTCAGACAGGTAATATATCTGGTCAGCTCTCTCACTCTATACTGTGTGTGTGTGTGTGTGTGTGTGTGTGTGTGTGTGTGTGTGTGTGTGTGTGTGTGTGTGTGTGTGTGTGTGTGTGTGAAGTACGAAGAAATTAAAGTGATGAATAATGTGAAAATATATAACCACTAGGGGAAAAATTAAGCAAGAAATGACTTGAGCGCTTTCTTGTTAATCAATACACCTTCAAAAGTACAATCAATGAAATACAAAACATACACATCTGGTAACATATTACATGTGTAAAGGAAGAAATGTGTATGTTTATCACTCAGTATGTTCGGTAATATGTTTATTGTTTGTGAGATATATATATCTATATATATATATATATATATATATATATATATATATATATATATATATATATATATATAATATGAACACGTTGTACTGCTCGGGGTGAGATTAGTTTGAGCTACCTCATCCCTTTGTATGTATTTTGCCTCAATAAACTAATTTAAATCTAAATTTAAATTTAAATTTCATTTACAAACACATACACTGGGGGCCCTGGTAGCTGAGTGGACAGCGTTTGGGACTCGTAATCCTATGGCCCGGGGGATCGATCCCCGGTTACGGTGGAAACAAATGGGCAGAGTTTCTTTCACCCTGATGCTCCTATTCAGCTAGCAATAAATAAGTATCTGGGAGTTAGACAGCTGCTACGGACTGCTTCCTGGGTGTGTAAGTGTGTTAGAGAAATATATGTAGCAGATATAATAGAAGAAAAATAGATTGGTTACAAAGGCGGAGTCCAAGAGCTAATAGTTCGATTCTGCAGACACAAATAGTAAATACAAATAGTAAACACACACACAGGTTGTGGTGTAGAGTGGTTGATAAATGGAATGCATTAGGAAATGATGTGGTGGAGGCTGACTCCATACACAGTTTCAAGTGTAGATATGATAGAACCCAATAGGCTCAGGACCCTGTACACCAGATGATTGACGGTTGAGAGGTGGGACCAAAGAGCCAGAGCTCAACCCCCGCAAGCACAAATAGGTGAGTAAACACACACAGCAGATAAATCACTGGCAACAGGGGAGTTGCCAGTGATTTGTAACTTGGCGAGTTATTACCAAGAATTTGGAAAGCGGCTAACGTGGTCCCGACATATAAGAAAGGGGATAGACAGGAGGCACTGAACTACAGGCCAGTGTCCCTAACCTGCATACCATGCAAGCTGATAGAGAAGAATGTGCGAAAAAAGCTAGTGGAACATCTGGAGCGAAAGAACTTTGTAATACAGCATCAACATGGGTTCAGGGATGGCAAGTCCTGCCTCATAGGATTAATTGAATTCTACGACCAGGCAACAAAAATCAGACAAGAGAGGGGTGGGCAGACTGCATATTTTTGGATTGTCAGAAAGCCTTAGACACAGTACCACACAAGAGGCTAGTGAGAGGCTAGTGAAAAAGCTGGAGATGCAGGCAGGAGTGAAAGGGAAGACACTCCATTGGATAAGGGAGTACCTAAGCAACAGAAGACAGCGAGTCATTGTGAGGGGTGAGGTCTCAGATTGGCGAGACGTCACCAGTGGAGTCCCGCAGGGGTCGGTCCTTTGGACCTATACTGTTTCTGATATATGTAAATGATCTCCCAGTGGGTAGACTTTCGTTTCTCTCGCTGTTTGGTGATGATGAAAAAATTATGAGGAGGATTGAAACAGAGGATGATAGTAGGAGGCTACAAGATGACCTAGACAGACTGAATGAATGGTCCAATAAATGGCTACTAAAGTTCAACCCGAGTAAATGCAAGGTAATGAAACTAGGCGGTGGAAACAGGAGGCCAGACATAGAATACAGAATAGGAGATGAAATACTTCAAGAAACGAACAGAGAGAAAGATCTAGGAGTTGATATCACACCAAACCTGTCTCCTGAAGCCCACATAAAAAGAATTCCGCCTGCGGCATACGCGAGGCTGGCTAACATCAGAACAGCCTTCAGGAACCTGTGTAAGGAATCAATCAGAATTTTGTACACCACATATATAAGATCAATCCTAGAGTATGCGGCCCCACCATGGAGCACGTACTTTGTCAAGCACAAAAAAAAGTTACCTCTGGAAAAAGTTCAGAGATATGCCACTAGACTAGTCACAGAACTAAGAGGCATGAGTTACGAGGAAAGGCTGCGGGAAATGCACCTCGACACTGGAAGACAGAAGAGTATGGAGAGACATGATCACTACCTACAAAATCCTCAGGGGAATTGACAAGGGTAGATAAGGATAAACTGTTTAACACTGGTGGAACGCAAACAAGGGGCACAGGTGGAAACTGAGTACCCAAATGAGCCACAGGGACGTTAGAAAGAACTTTTTCAGTGTCAGAGTAGTTAACAGATGGAATGCACTAGGAAGTGATGTGGTGGAGGCTGACTCCATACACAGTTTCAAATGTGGATATGATAAGAGCCCAGTAGGCTCAGGAACCTGTACACCTGTTGATTGGCAGTTGAGAGGCGGGACCAAAGAGCCACAGCTCATCCCTCGCAAACACAAAGAGGTGAGTACAGCACTAATAACTACTAACCATTCCAATACCGGTAATTAAAAGGAACTAGCTCCCAGGCAGCGGCGTGGGGGAGAGGGGGAGAGGGATATAGGAAGGAGAGCAAATGGGGAAGAGGAAGAGAGGTAAAGTGAGGCAGAAAGCGAGGAAGTTGAAAGACCGACAGAGAGGAAAAAGGAGATGAGATTGATGTAGGGGGGAAGGAGGTATGAGGAGGAGGGGGTGCAACAAAACACTGTCATGCCCCCATGGTAATCCCAGCGTCTGGCCTGCTCTGCCCCCGCTACACCAGAGTAATCCCAGCAACAGTCCAATAAATCCTGGTAATCCAGCTAGCGGAGGTAATAAATAGAGCAGCGATTATAATCCTCGACGCACACTCATCGGCACGAGTGGGGGGGGGGGGGGTTTGCTCCCTTCTCTCCCCCACAACCCCCCCCCCCTCTACCTACCCTCTCTCCCCCACCACCACCCCTATCCCATCCCTCCCTACCCCCTCCCCCTTCCCTGTCCTCTCTCACCCTTCCCTCTCCTCTCTCACCTCCCCTCCCTCCTCCTCCCCTTCCATCCTCACCCCCCCCCCTTCACCATTGCTGGCTATAACATGTAGACAATTATTACTGTCGCCTATTATTGTTTTACAGGTGACTGTTACCGAACCTGGCAGTTAGTTACCTGCCGGTGATTTCGGGGGATCAAGGTTCTCGCGGCCCGGTCTCTGACAAGGCCTCCTGGTTGATGGACTGGTTAACCAGACCAGTTGGACGTGCCTGCTCGCAGCCTGACGTATGAATTACGAGTCTCTAAATTACGAGTCTCTAAATTACGAGTCTCTAAATTACGAGTCTCTAAATTACGAGTCTCTAAATTACGAGTCTCTAAATTAAGAGTCTCTAAATTAAGAGTCTCTAAATTAAGAGTCACTAAATTACGAGTCTCTAAATTACGAGTCTCTAAATTACGAGTCTCTAAATTACGAGTCTCTAAATTACGAGTCTCTAAATTACGAGTCTCTAAATTACGAGTCTCTAAATTACGAGTCTAAATTATGAGTCTAAATTACGAGACTAAATTACGAGTCTATTACTTGGTATTTCCTAATAAGTTCATTTTATTATCGACCGCTCATCGTCAGCGGTTTGAGCTGATGCTTCGAGTCACACAAGATGATGTCTATCGCCTGGACACCTGTGAGTCAGTAGAGTGGATGAAAAACTCTACCCACTCTATAATATCCAAACGCGGTGGATATGATCGGCCAGAACTGTTATTGTCGATCGGAAAAGATTTGAATTCTGGATTCGTGGATTGGCTTCCAATATTAGGAGCAGCGGATTGGAATTAATCATTACGACCAGTGGATTGGAATCAGCGAAGAGTTAGGGGTGACATGATAGAGGTGTACAAGTGGATGAATGGATATAACAAAGAGGGATATTAATAGGGTGTTAAAAGTGTCAACACATGACAGATCACGAATTACCGCGTAACGTGGTGGAGGTGGGGTCCCTCGATTGTTTCAAACGTGGGTTGGGCATGTATACGAGTGGGATTGGATGGTTATAAATAGGAGCTGGCTCATATGGGCTAATAGACCTTCTGCAGTTACCTTTATTCTATGTTCTTATGACTTTGGGCCCAGTGGATTCGAATTCAAACTCGGAATCCGTCCCACGAAGGATTCAGGGACTGATGGACTGGATTCCTCCATGGAATCCAATAGTACATTTATAAATAAGACCAGGAGACACCCTAGTTTTTTTGTTTTGTTTTTTGCCGCCGGAGGTGGCTAGTTTATTGTGCACCCCATACTCATCCTGTGAGCGGTAGCGCAAAAGCATTACAGAGGGCACAAGAGGTCTTTATCAGACCTCTTCTTAGATTATTTCATAAACAATTTCACCTATCCTTCACACCTTATAGTTACAATGTCAGCTAGTTACAGAGAAAGTGCTATTTCAAGAGCTATATATTTACAGTAAGTCATTATACATTAATGGAAGGTCTTATCGCTAATACATAATAGTTTGACCAATGGGGATATTACAGAGTCATAGGGGAGCTTCTGTTTATTATTAGTCTTCACAATACACTATTTGTTTCTGAATCTCATATGTCGTTTATCTACTGTTTCCTCCACCCACTTCCAGTCTCCTCTCTTGGGCGCCTCCCATCCCTTGATCGTCGTCGCCCCGAAACCAACAATAATCCTTCTATCCTCCTCTCTTCTTCCTTCCCCACTCCTCCCCCTTCCTCCTCTCCTCCCCCTTCCCCACTCCTCCCCCTTCCTCCTCTCCTCCCCCTTCCCCACTCCTCCCCCTTCCTCCTCTCCAACATCATCTCCTCGTTTCTATTTTAAATCGTAAATGCATATGATTATAAAATACATAAATTAAGTTATTAAAAAAA